AGAGAGATTCCATGGATTTCAGAGTATGTAGATGTCATTTCAGTCACCAGTGAATCAAACGCTTTTGACTCCTATTCCAAACAATTCAAAGAACAAGATCCAGGAGCTCATTTTATGCAAAGATAGAAAGAAAATAAGTTATTGCTACTGTATAATATCTCTTTCACACAGCTACCTGAAAAAGAAACCTTATCATCTACTATCCAGAGAGATATTATTGTGGAAATAAATGAATATTCTAATGATACTAAATTTTAAGCAACTATTGAAGCAATTCCTTCTCCTAGACAAGGCCCTTCAAAGACAGTGATTGTAACAGATGATTATGCCATTGAAATTCATATACTCCTTGCTAGTATGCTTTGTTCCTATATGTTTAGATATCTATACACGTTGTAAAAAATCATTATTGATCAGAGATGTAATAATCAATTAAATTAATCTTCTGGTTAACTGCTAATCGAATACACCCCTCATTAGAACAGCTTTTGAAAATTATGTACAAGTAGTCCCTGACTTATGAGGTATTCGAGTTATGATGAACCAAACTCACAACCATCTGGTTTTTTTTTTTTTTTTGTACATGCTTAACATCAGTCATATGTACTACATATAATGTTGCAGTGCATAATTTGCTGATGTTATTCTCAGATGTTCACTCGCAGATGCTTAAAGATTGGGTTTATAAAGATACTGATAAGAAAAGGCAATAATAATGAAAACTTTAAAAAATTATTTGACTTACCTTAGAACTGACTTATGACACAGAGTCATCAGAATGGAACTCTACCATAAGTCAGGTACTACCTGTATATCCTTTTCTGACTTGGAAATACAATACCTTGGGCATGTTTTAATATTTGATGCTCAACAATTTTTCACTGTTTCTGGAACATCATTAATAACTTTCTCAGTTATTGTCATCATCAGAATCATCATAATTTGAAATAACAATTGCAGTTATCATTTACTCAGGGTTTTTTTTATGTACCAAGTTTTGTGCTTTTACATTCATACAGATTGCCTTTTGACATAGAATTCCAAAAAGTTATGCTTGTGTATTCTATAGTTGGAGCCCTAGTGGCATAGTGGTTAAGAGATCAGGGGCTAACCAAAAGGTCAGCAATTCAAATCCAGCAGCCACTCCTTGGAAACCCTATGGAGGCAGTTCTTCTCTGTCCTATAGGGTCACTATGAGTCGGAATTGACTTGACAGCACCTAACAACAATAACAACATTCTATAGTTACAAGTAGAAAAGCTAGTGACTCTTAAAACAGCTTTTAATTATTGTGACAAAAATTACTCGAGTGGTCTTCCTTAGTTCGGAAAATACAATTATAGTAGTTGTCCCTGGGGAGAGGTGCTAGGGGATATTTGATAGACTGACAAATAGATCCATCACCATACAGTATTACTGTCATTTTCAGAGCCCTTGATTGAGATAAAAAGATAAGTTTATATAGGGGCTGTCTTGGTCATCTAGTG